CTAGTGTGACACATTGGTCGAACATACATTGAAGAAATTACACGTGATCGGTAACGATTTAATTGTTAGAAAGCTCAAGAGAATATTTTAGAAGTCTGTTTGGCAACCAGGAGGACTGTCCACTTCGAGAAAGTCAGAGGTACTCGGAGCAACTTTCGGTCGGCATGATGATAATGAAATATGCTTTTACTAATTTTTATGTTGAATAACTGCTAGAATAAAATAAAGCTAAAATCAAATCAAATCGTAAGACAAATCCATGCAATAAGATCTAATACAGAAGTACAGGCGTGTGAAGCCAAAGGTAACAGGTATATACTACAAATTAAAAATTATTTTTTAACCTATTCATACCTACATAAATACTATAATAAAATAAAATAGTAAGAGAAATAATAAGAAGCGAAATCGGTGAAAGAAATATTTTAAAAACTTACAGATTGTGTACACCTACACAATAAAGACCCCAAAGCAATACATAGTTGTTGAAATTTTTGTCGGTTAAATTTTGCCTGTATATCTGTTGGTCTGGATCTTTGTGAGCTTTTTACTCAAAACGTACAGAATGGATTTTAACAAACTTTTAACTTAAGTTTTGTTTAAAGCAATAATTTTAAATTAATATTTTATCTGAAAAATGTATCTTACTTAAAATTTATTTTAATATTAACTTTATATGCATACAAATTATACAGTTTAATGGAAATCTCGGTTACGGAAACAACAACGATGCGATTAATTAGTACTAAAATGCTTGCTTCCCATTCTTTTGATTTAATTTCGCGTAATAATTAAACAAAATTGCAAAGCGTCGACAAAGTAATTAATTAAATGGCAGATTGATTTACAATCCATTTAAAATAGATATTTTCGTAGATCTAAATAAAAAGTATTTGTAATTTTAGAATAATAATACTTTTGTTATGTAAGTGTACTAATAAAAAACAGATTTCAATAAAATGTAGCTGTCGTATTATTGAGCAAGACGTCATTGAAAAAAAGTATGATTTACCTCAGATTTTCTAAAAAAATTCAAATAAAACTTACATATCTTTTCGGATTTTTTCGCGGATTTATCTTGATCTTATTGGTTCCCGACATTTCAAATGCTTTACAGCAATGATGGTCACAGGAGAGATTATTATTATTATATTATATTTTTATATTATTATTACAGACAGCACCAACCCACAAAATTATACAGTGATTTTCAAAAGTACAAAAATGAAAAAAAAAAAGAATGAAATGAACGTCATTGTATAATTATGTCTGACTGCTACACATTTGTTTAATCATACACGTGCCCAATAGATGTTTAATTTTGATCTATAAAAGGTAAGGTAAGTTTTAGGCGTTAGTTAAAAGCATGAACGAATTAAAAAATGTTTAAAAAATTTATGACTTGTTGTGGAAATTTAATTTAGTAGGTACAGGCGCGAAACCAACTAGCAGTTGTCGATTTTATTACTCCACTTAAATATATCTAATCTATACTTATATTCTAACACCTAAAGAAGCAGACTTTGTTTGTTTGTTCGTTCGTTCGTTCGTTCCTTCGTTCCTTCGTACATTCGTTCCTTCGTACATTCGTTCGTTCGTTCGTTTGTTTGTTTGTTTGTTTGTTTGTTTGTTTGTTTGTTTGTTTGTTTGTTTGTTTGAACGCGCTAATCTCAGAGACTACTAATACAATTTGACAATATTTTTTTGCATTAGATAGCGCGTTTATTGAGGAAGGCTATAAGCTATATATTATAATCATGCTACTAAATATACGTAATCATAAAAGTCAATAAATTGTGCAGACTTCCATATACATATTATTGTAAAACTGATGTTTACATCGGAAGCTTAAACGCGGACGAAGCCACTGGTACTGCTAGTATACATACATATATCAGCACTTAGACGGATTTAATTTGCGGAGTCGTAAAAAAGTTAGTGAAGGTTATTTGACTTAACTTCTTACTATAAAATTTATTCCGCGTATATCAAAAAAAAAAAAAAATAGTTTAGAAGGTGAAATATATATAGAAAAAGCTGAAGGCAGATACTTGGAAAATCCATTATAGGGCAAAGAATCTCATTTTCAGTGACAGCATTTTGTAATTTAATTTACAGGTGTCTGCCCTTCAAGAAGGTCGCTAGTAAAGGTCGCAAGCTTTTTAGATACCTACTTCTACTGGCTATATTTAAAAAAAAATTGTTTTAAATAGCATCACTCTAATTAATCATTTCTTGATACAATAATATATTATTTAGCAAAAAACAGACTTATTTGTATCATTATTAAAATTCGAATTATGCAAATCCATTTGATATATAGAGAATAAAACTCACTTTCAATTTTAAAAAGAAGAAGAAGTTGCCTAATACAGAACTCGTTAAGTACACGTCTTATCCGAAATAAGCATTAGCTTCACGAAAATGATACTGCATTTCATATTATTTTCAAGTTCACCTAATAGCCTAACTAGCCTCAGAATTCTCAAGTTAGACAACGAAACAGCCATGAAACATAATTTAGAAGCCACGCTATTGCATAAGGGCTGCAGCAAGAGTATTTTCGTTATGAAGACGTAATTTATTAATATATATTGTATAATACATAATGTTAAGTAAATAAAATCAAGTAATATTATTTATTTTAATAACTGAAGAATGTATAAAAATGTACATATATAAGTACATTTGAGTAGGTACTTACCTTGAACTAAATAAATTACTCATTAATATACATGTATACCTAATACTTATGAAAAATGCTTGCATAACAGTTTTTTTAATAAGTACGCAATTTAGAAGATTCAAAGGTAAGCATTATGCAGATAACTCGACAATGTGTCTTCATTGGCCTTGACAAAGTCACCGTTATAATTATCAATATATAATAATGCAGAAGAATCGTTTAAAGGAAATATTAACCTAATAGTTCTTTTTTGTAAAATTATTTAATTTATTTTTTATCAATGTAAATTGGTAGATATAAGTTTAATAAAAGCCACTTTTTCTTCAATTTACTATATTAAATACAAACATATTATTATACAAGTTTATATAGAAGGTCATATGGTAATTTGTAGGGTTGTCTTGTTTAAATGCATTTAAAAATGTAGCGAGTAGCCTCAAGATGTCTGGGAAAGTAGGTCGTCGAATAACTCACTCGATGCATTTTTAAAATTCCTGCTGTCACTCGTGCACTGTATTTTACCTAAAATAACCTTTTGTAAACGTTATTCAAACTAGTAATTTTAGGCCAACATCAGTATAATAAACTTAAACCAATTATTATTTTTAGGTAATTTATAATGTTTAAGAAATAAATCGATGTACCATTTTTTTACCATACATTTTATAGCTATTAAAATTATTTTTCACATCAAGCAACACTTTTAAGCTAAAATCAAACACAACATCATCTTTACTAATAAGATTTAACAATAAGTCTACATGAAAATACAAACAAACCTACTTATGTAAATTGACATATTACAGTTCTTAGTATATGTATTTTAGTATAGATCGTTAAATATAATTAAAAGCATTAAATACAATAAACAAGTGGGCAAGGTTATGAAAAATACGTTTAGCATATAAAATAATAAAAAGCTCTTATTTTATTTCCCTGTCAGACTTAGACAGGGATTGTTTAAATATTCATATATATTTATATTGCTAAAATACGTTACTCACTAACTTGCCTACTTTCGTATAAAAAAATTAAATATTTAATATATCTAACAATAAACGTAAGCGTGTAAAAATATGTTGAATCATTAAAGCAGCCAACGTCACGTGTGACTGACGCGCTAAATCAACGGCGATGAAAAATAGCCGGTTCCTATGTTGCTAAAAGCCGATTCATTTTTTTAAAAAATAAGTCATATTTTTCTAATCTGGGTTGCCGATATATTGGGATTCAATCATTGGATTAAGTAAATTAAAAACCAACACATGATTGCAATAGAATAAAATATTTTAATTTAAATACTTTTCTGAAAAAATAGATATACCGCGACATTATAGGATTTTCTAGTCACCTGGCAACCTTGTTACAAATTCAACTTTGACTCTTCAAATTTTCTGATCTTAAATTTGATTCGAATAATACGGTTCGCTCAGAACTAAAGTTGTTTTAAATACGTTCAGGCTGATTATACGAGGTTTCCAAGCAAGTGGGTATGAAACTTTGCTTTGGAAATAAAAATACCAACAGCAATCGCTCCCTATTAATTAATTACATTACATTAGTTAGCATTCATGATTTCAACATATCAATTGACGCGGTAAGCAAAATAAACCTGATAACTAAAACACGTGAACTACTAATAGCGCATAGAAATAGAAATGACGTAAAAAGCTCTTTCAAATAAGCGCAAATAGATTTCATTAATATTCTCTGATATAATGTATCGCTTTAACATAGAAAAAAATTCCGTTCCTAGCACAATGAATAAGCAAAGTCCATTTTTTTTAACATAAAATTGACATAATGTATACATATTACATATGTATAATAGTTTTCATGAGAAATTTTATAATAGACTGTCAGTTCTATTTTATTCATTATAGGTTTTCCCTACAAGAGATACTGCAAACGTGTTCAAGCGCGGGAAACTCGCATAAATGATCAGCAAACTTACTCGACCTTAAAAGCTTACATAATTCATGCAAGCACAACGGCTGGCCTCATTTACCATAAGACAACTCGTTCGAAACACAATTTTACTATAATATATTGGATAATTAAGTTTCGTGCATCGTTTTCTTGGATATTAGATACTATATGATAAAAGAGGTACCTTTTCATTCGAATATTAATATATTTTCTAATTAATTAAAGTAATAACGTTTAATTTGATTTTGCACTTTTATTAACATAATAGCTTAACGGTAGATATAATGTAACGATCGTTTGTTATTTTATTATTATGTTATTTTATTATTATAATGCAATTTGGCTATTTAATACATGTTGATCAAGTGTTCCTTCAATAGATTTAATCAGTATAGAGGCCCTCATAAAGTGAGCGTGGCATATGTTCAGCTAACAGAGACTTGAGCTTCTCCCGCGGGGAGACAGGTGTGTAGCGCGCGAGAGGGAACGTGCGGGTGACGCCGTCGCTGAGCGAACGCGTCACTGCTGTGAGATCAGCATCCTGGAATAAAAATAAATTTACCTAATTAATTTATACAAAAAAATTATGCTTTTTATTTTTAACTACACTTTATGATATTATATATCAAATAGTTATTCATGGGAACGGCGGATATGAATAAAAACGCCATCGTTGGTATCGTAATACACAAGGCTGTAATAAATTTTTTTTATTCTAATTTGTATCATGCTTCATAATTATTTTATTTTATAATTACGTCGTAGCGCTGCAATCTAGTTAAGTCTCTAATGTATAATATAACGAAATGGCAGTTATATTTTGAAATTGTAGCTTAATGGTGCAAAGCTTTTATAGCATGTGTTTTAAATTTAGCATTAATAATTAAAACAAAACAGAGGTAATCAAACAATTTTGTTATTTAATAGATTTGTGAAAGTGAAACCAGTATTAATTGTTTATTGTTCTGCCTACGTTGTGATAAACTTTCGAAACAAATTACATGTCTGTAATTCTGTAGTTTCATTTTTCATTTCAGAAGGTTAAAGTTCATTATAATATATGGGTACAGGATTAATTAATTCAATGAAGAAACATAATAATTTTCACGAGCGAAATTATAAAAGATGATAATAATTATTATCCTCATATCATTTTCAGCACTTCCATTAATTGTAAACGTCTTGTTTTACGTAATAAGAGTAATAATTCCATATAACATAACTACTCGTATATACTGTACTGATGTACTGCGCCGATCCCAAGTAATTGGGAAATGGCCAGGGAGATGATGATGAACATAACTAAATAATAATAATTATATAGTCATGTTATAGGTACATACATGTCTAGATACTAATTTAAAATCATAAAATTGAAAGTATTTTAAAATTTTCTTTCATCTCAAGGAAAGAACTCAATTTTCAAAAAATTGTAGATAGTTCCGTTGTATGTATAACTAATTTATTATGTCCTATATTTTATTTTTGTGGTAAATTACTGACTTACTGGCGCATTGTGATATACTTTATCCCATATAGAGGATATAGGATGAACCTAAAGAGATCTTAGTTAAGTCAAATATAATTGATCAAAATAATGTACTTGAAAATTGTAGGTCTTAAAAAGGCCTATATATTTCTATGGGCCTCATGATATTTACTATTCCTAATATTCAAATTAATAAAGGTTTTAAAGTTAATATAGTAAAAAGTAAAACGATTGTCACAATAGTATTATAAGATATTGTTTTATTATAAAATATTATTTAATGTTGGTATGTAGTTATGGATATAGGTATATTTTAACTATAAAAGACTAGAATTATTATAAATTTTTTCAACGGCGTCAAGAATACACCACATGAAGTTTATTGACTCCAACATAATTGCAAAAACAAACGAAACGAAACTACAGGCATGAAAAACTTTTCTCTTCGCTTTTGTTTCATTTTAATCAAAGCTTAAAAACCCAGGTTATCTATCTACTGTATTTCGTATTAAATGTCCAAAATGTAAACACACGCTCAATCCATGTTTTTGTTTAGCTTTATCAAAATCCTTTGAGATTCGTATTAAAATTAAAATATTAAAATAGGTCGATCATTTGGATACTACTTTATTTATTATTAAGACAAAAACCGTGTCCTCTACCTATAAAATTCTAGACATTTTAACTTACTGGGCTTTTAGTGTATTTTTCCAAGCTTCGTAGTGCCTGCTCGAAGTAGTCTTCTCCGTAGGCACCCTTTTGTTCGTCGCTAAGCCGCTTCCACATATCACGCGCTTGTTCTAGAAGTTTTTCCTCCGACAACCACGCGCTACCCGTTGTGTACTCGCCAGCTGCGACAACCACCTGACACAAATTTATATTTAACGTTTAATAAATATAGATCGTTTAAAAAACTATACAGACTAATACATATTAGATACAATAATTAACTTTTCAAAAGCAAAAATTAAAAGTAAAGAATACTTTAAAATAAGAATATCATGTTTTATTTATATGATGATGACTAACACTAGCGATTTTTACTTTTAGCGACTCGAGTGGAAGTAATCAGTAGCCTATCTGTATATTTAATATTCAAATCCGTCGAGTGGTTTCAGCGTGAAGAAGTTTTTATGTGAAAACATACACAAAAACTTTCGTATTTATAATATAATAATAGTAGTCCGTTATTTTTGGTTAAGGCTTTAAATCTTAAATTAAGATTTGTATAAGCTTCAAGTGCTTTCAGGTAGTCTGGAAACCTAACTGGTTTTAGAGTTTCTCATTTAGAGAATTTCCAAAAGTTTTCCAATCGAATCTGCACCGCTAATTCAGACTTGAGTAACGATGTTGACACCTCGCGCTCTGGTTTTCAAAAGGCAAGCGCTTGGAGTGAGTTCTGAGTACCCATTTAGGTAAGTATACCAAGACCTAATTTGGTTTCATACAAATATGTACAAATACAAGTGGCTTTCTTATTACAAATAAACTATATATATATATATAGAATACAGGAATAGAGTCTGCGCGTACACTTGTACACTCATGCTTCATATATATATATATAACTGCCTATGAGAGTGATAGGAATAGAGAGTGCACTTGTGTCTGCGCGTACACTTGAGCACTGTAATGTCTCCTGCGCAGTTGGCTAATCTCATTGAGATTGGCCGCCGTGGCCGGAATCGGCTAGGAGAACATTATCATCATATATATATATATATATGTTGTTCTCCTAGACGATTCCGGCCACGGCGGCCAATCTCATTGAGACTAGCCAACTGCGCAGGAGATATTATAGTGCACAAGTGTACGCGCAGACACAAGTGCACTCTCTATTCCTGTCACTCTCATATTCCGCTGTGACGACTGCTCGACACGACCAGTGAGAGTTAAGGCGCAGGGGGTGAAACACCACCAACTTCCCAACTTCGGGCTGTTACTGAGACTTACTATACAGAAAGACTCAATAACTAAACATGGCCCGAACCCAGGACCTCCGAGTGTGCAGCCGTATATGCTAGCCACTACACCACCGAGGCAGTAATATATATATATATATATATATATATATATATATATATACACACACGCTACAACAATACGCTTTGCTCGGGTTCGTCCCTAGGTTGATTCCCCATACAAAATTTTATTCACATTTTCACCCCCTTAAGGGATGATTTCTGGAATAAATAATATCCTATGTCCTTTCCAGGGTCTCAAACTATCTTTTTACCAAATTTCGTGTAAATCGGTCTAGTAGTTTTTGAGTTTATTTGTCACAAACATACAAAAATACAAATCTTTCCACGTTATAATATTAGTGTAGATACATTTTTTTGCTAGTTCTTAGAATAATTTACAACAATAACATTTTAATTAACAATTATAAAATATATATATAAAAAATAAGCTTTTATTTCTAAGAACGTACCAGTCACATAATTTATTTGTGTACATTTTATAATATAAATGTGGATAACGTTGTAATTCGTTACTTTTAATTTAGCTTCTGAATAACAGATATAGAAGCATCTACGTAAACAAGCGCAAAAATTCATATTTCAAGTGTGTCAGTGTCTTTAGAATTCAGAAACTCGCTCGTACTCACATTGTGCTTTTGACACGCCTTTGATCTTTTAATGACGGTTGTACGAGTATGTACGATATTACTAAGCTCGATTTAACATGATTTTAACGTAGTACTCATATCAACTACATACTAATAATATTTCGTAGTTTGTATGAGTAAATAGCAACATATGTACATATACATATACAAGTTTATATATCTTGTTTATGATCTCGATTTGTTAATGGCGACGTTAATGTTTAGGGATTACGTTATAATTTAATTATTGTTACGCAAAACATTTATCAAACAGATTCACCACATTAATTATTTTGCTTAATATACAATTAAGGCGTAGCGTGCTTTACTTCGTATTTTCAGAGATTGAAATTGTTTAATGTTTGCAACCGACTTTTAAAAGGACGAGGTTTATACTCGTATGTTCGGTCTGTATTTTTTTTTCATTTTGTACATGTATTTACACGGACTGTTTCGAAAACAATGCGATTTGAGTGCTTCTGTTTTATTTGAAAGTGTGTACTGACTAAGTGTTTCATGGTGGTAATCTGATTGATGGTGAGATCCGATAAAAAATCGTGTTTTCGTAATTTTTCTTCTTCTAAAACAAACATTGTTTTATTTAATCAAATGAAAATGTTTTACAAAAAAAAACTTAAACTGACATTAATGTCTACACGTGAAAAGAAATTGGGGCAGCGTAAGTTGAGCCGTTCTAACACCTTGCTAGGATTTAATGAAAAGGAAAATTCAGTACGTCAGTAATTGCGTCGTTAAGTTATTAGAGACTACGATGGTTGATTTTTTATAGTGTAGGAAAGTAAAAAAGTATTAAATAACTATAAAAATTAATACAAGTAAAATTAACATTAAACACGTACATATAATGTATGTGTACAATTTCTAATTTTATTTATTCTACATAGGATTCCCAATAATTTTCAATACGATCACTATTGTAGTGTGTTCATACAAAATGAGTCCACGTTTATTAATGTGATAGTTTTGAGATATTAGATTTATAGTCCTAAGAATATAGAAAATAGTAATATTCTTTTAGGAAGAACTTTTTTTATTTATATCGCAATGCATATATGTATGTATGTATTCAGACCTTTTTTAACGTCCCAATGCTGGACACTGGCCTCCCAATACGAGTGGGATTAGGCTATAGTACACCACGCTGGCCAAGTATGGGTTGGCGGACTTCACATGTCTTTCGAAAACTTGCTGGGTTCTCTCAGACAGATTTCCTCACGATACTTTCGCATTTCGCTATAAAAGTTCAAATATATTGTTACTTACAACATCTACTCCTCTTGGTTTGAGTTCCCGCCGTAGACAGGCGGCAAGTGCGTCGAGAGCGGCAAGCGACGCCGCGTGCACGCCTCTTACCGGTGCAGCGACGTGGGTCAATATAGACGACGCCAGGACTACGCGTCCTCTCGCCCGACGCACCAGTGGTAGCATTACTTGGACTAGACGAGCCGGTCCTAAAAATCATACCATCCAGGTTTTCTTTACTACTGTCATACTTTTACAATAAATACACACAATTTTACACTTATTTGTCCCGAAATCATATCTACGATACCGTATGAAAATACTTATGGAATAACCGTGAGTAATAAGTAGGGACGAAGCAAAGCTAGTACAAGTAGCTAGTGATCTAATAAAAAATATACGATAGGCTTACAAAGTCTCACTTCAGATGTTGTACCTTCAAGTAATTGAATATGCACCCGCAGGCGCTTACTTATTACAGGTACATAAAGGTGACTGGATGCACTTTATAGAATAAATTTTTACATTTTATGTCGCAAGATTTTCATCTATACAAATGTTTGTCTATACCAATATTAAAAAGCTAAAGGATTCTTTTTAAATATTTCCTTTAACTTGTACTTTATTATTAAGTTTTATTTTTGAATGCATACATTTTATGAACTATCAGTTCAATTTGAACAATATTATTTATTATAATAAATGCCTGTATATTCATCAATCAATTTAAACTTTAATTAAATAACTAAGGGATTCAATAGGATTTCTTGAACAACAAGTAGTCGGAATCAACTAAATTAATTTTTCAATCTATTATTGATTTTAATATAATTTAAACGCAGATGAAACCGCAGGCAATCACTGATATGAAATAAAACGTAGAGTTATTAAAAATCCGCATCACTAGACAAAGTTAAATTGTTGCCTTTTTAACAACACTAATTTTTAACGATAAGTTTATTTTAGTACCCAAGGAAAATTTCAAAATAAGTGGATTATAATTGGACAGCGAGATGCGGCTGAACTGAATTAGCCAACTAAAAACTAACAACGAGTGGAACTGAATAAAAGCTTGTAAAAATAAATACTTCTTTAGGTATTGTTTCGCTGTGAACATACAATTAGCTTTGTTTTGTCTGCTATAACTTTTTATTCATTTTTTATTGTTAATGTTACATTTTTATATCTAGCATTACATTCTCCAAAGTAAATAGTATCAAGTTAAAGCTGAAAATACAATATGAAGTTTCGGATACAAAACTTTGACACTGATTTTGTTCTGAAATTGAGTTACGAACGCGAAGGGAAAATGGTTTTATTTTGAAGAAGCTTCTCAATTATTGGCTTCACTTGCCTTGTTCTCATTTAATTTTGTTTAATGGTAGAGAAAATGTTTCACAAAATAAAATTTATGCTGTGACAAAATATAATGCAATTTGCTTATGGAGACTGTTTCAACGAGTCAACTACTTTTTGCTTGCCGTTGTTAAAATATTATTTTTTTTGTTAAATAAAAGCAATTTATTTGCTCAGTTATTTTTAATTTGAGCTTTAAATAAAAATATTGTGAACCTAGTATCTATTAAACCCCTAAAATATTTAGTATGTACGTGCAAAAATGTTCCATATTATTTGACTAACGCTGCTACTGTTTATAAAAGAACAGAATAAGAAATTATTATTGTAATCATAGTTTCTATTTCACATCTCTTGTACCATTACAATATCATCTTCTAAATCTTTTAAGAGTGTAATAAAACAGAGATGTTTTTATATGATGACGCAGCTTGTTGAGTAAATAATGGTTTAACCTGTAAAATATTTTTTGCTTCAAAAGAAGACAACTAGCGTCATCTTTCAGGTATCGTGTAAGTTAGTACTGTTAAAGCCATCTTACGGGAAAACTGTGTAGTGTTTGCTCATACCCACCCAAAAGGTTCACATCCATCGCTCGGCGTATTACGGAGAATGGTACCCACTCTAATTCACCCAGCGCACACCACGACTCGCAGTTGACGATCGCCCACAAACCTTGAGCGCCCTCTGGCAGATGATCAACGATATACAAAGATGCCGACAGTATCTGGAAAATAAACTTACGTCATAGTTATATTCAAAAGTGGAATGAGGTCGCTGAATACTACGTTTTTCAATATATTTTAGTTGTTTTTAGTAACCTTAGCCGTTTGTTTTATTTCAACATAATATTCTGTTTATCATAAACATATATTATTAGTAAAATAATATATACAGTCTATCTTTATTCTTACTCTCATTATAGTCAAATCGGAATCGGACTTGGGAACAAAATATTGAAAACGTAAAGTTTTATGATTTTAAAATATTAGCAGGTATATAAGGAATAGAAATTCGTAAAATGTCCCCTATGCCCAGCTATCCCCGAGAAATGCAAACGTTTTATTCTAGAAATTAAAAATAAAAAACCATGAAAAAGTTAAAAACAGAGTTTTTTGCAAATACCTCGAAAACTTTAAGGTTATTGTAAAAAGCGTTTATAAAAGTTGTAGATTTTTACTAGACCTACAATTTTTTTTAAATATATACAATTATTTTAAAATCAAATTGGGGCATAATAAAATGCATATTATGTGTACTGTTAAAAAGTATGAATAACTTTTAGAAATGAATTTAACTCTATATTCTATAAGTAACTACCCAAAATATTACTTTATTATTGGTCCAAGTGTAGGTAGGTGTATTGAAAGCTCTTAATGATACAAACATTTTTTTTGCCTGAGTACTTTATTAATTGCGCGTACAACCTGAAATTGTTGTTGGCTGCGAGCGGTACAAGCACAATATTCGTCCCTAAGACTTTATTAGACTTTGTTAATAATCTCGTTAACCTTAATAATAATGTCTATAAATTATGGAAGCTTACAAGCTTAGTTGTTAAGGATGATGACCGCGTTGGTTTTAAATAGTGTTATGAATTATTATTATTAGTTATTAATATTTCATAAATACTTAATTATGTAACTATTTTTATTAATATAATTATTACTATAACTGATACTCACTTTTGTATTGTTTTTTATTTTTATTTATCATTATTTGGCATCTCTACAATATAATGTTTTTAAGTGCGAAGTAATTTAGAAAAGTATTTCATTATAATACATCCTCGTATACCCCTAAGTGATACAAACTTTCATCCCCATTTCGATGGGATGATTTCTGGGATAAAAACTATCCTACGTCCTTCCCAGGGTTTCAAACTATCTTCTCACCAGATCTAAATCTGTTCAGTAGTTTCGGAGCCTATTCAATACGAACGAACAAAAAAACAAATCTTTCCTCTTTATAATATTACGAGTAGCATAGAAGTAGGTATAGATTAGAAGTTTTTTTTCCTTTTATTGGATTCGACAAAACTTAGAGCAATTGTGCATAAAGGTTGTTGAGTTTAGATGAAAACGCATTCCTTGATAAGAATATGCAATACTATATAATAAATATAAACTTTGATCTATTTTTACTTTTCGATATTTGGCCATCTGACCTTATCATATTTTTAAAAGTATTATAACTATTTTTCATATAGCATTTTTTCCATTTTAAAAGGTCAGTTCAGTCAGTATATTTAGATATTGTTGAACAAAATATTTTATCAATAAGTACAGTATTCGAATTAAATAAAACTTGTACGTCAACAAGTACATTTCTGTTACATTGCCATCGAATAGGATAACTCACTAGTTAGGTTCAATTAACTAGATTTGGAAAACATTGATTTTTATATACAAAAAAGTTTACAAAGTTTGTGAGTTTGTGAGATTGTGAGTTTGTGACGTTGTAGGGGGTAATCTCTGGATCTACTGAACCGATTTAGATGGAATTTAGTAAGAAGATAGTTTGAGACCCTGGGAAAGACATAGGATACTTTTTATCCCGGAAATCATTCCTTAAGGGGGTGAAAATGGGAATGAAAGTTTGTATGGGGAATCAAGCTAGGGACGGACCCGTGCGAAGCGAGGGTGAGTCGCTAGTATATCTATATTTTAAGTAACGCTGTTTAAGTTGCGTAAAATAAGGATTGCGTTCTATTATGAAAATTATTTTAAAAAAATATTATACGTGGAATTTTTCAAATTGTGAACGATACGATTTATTCTATAACGTTCATTAATAAAAAATAAGTTACCTAACCTGTATTATGAAATAAAAAGTGCTTAAAGTTAACCTGAGTTTCAGACGTGATGTCAAGTTGTAAAGTGTGTAGCCTGCCTGAACAGTCTTCTTTTAGCATGTCCGCGTCTATGTTTCCGGCTTTACTTTGAAAGCCGGCAAATACATGATATCCCAAATCGTCGAGTCTTCTGGCTAAAGCATTTCCTAATACGTTGTCGCATCCTGTCACTAGCACCGCTTTGCCTGCTGCTGTTACCTGCCAAACAAATTATTGTCCTAAGTACCTTTTTTATTTACGTATGCTAAATTTTATAAGAATAATGTAATTATATAAAAAAAATATAAGAAGAATTAATTAAAAGTATTTTTAGAAATTTTAAAAGTGTATATTAATATTGATATGATTGTTTATTATTTCGTACAATATTATAAGGGTTACCTACAAAAGTAGCTATTGTATCTACCTATTACAGTTTTACGAGCTAAGTAATTTTAATTTTATTTTCCCTAGAATCAACCTTTGCTCGCAGAGCAGAATAATACAATACGATTATTTTCAAGAGTATTTTTATTAAAATAGAACTTTACAATTTAAATATAATTTTGATTACTTGATAAAATAATCTCATAAATAAAAAAAATATTTAATTAAAATATAATTGAGACATAACAGATAATACATGTGGTTAGTATATTCTACCGTTTTTACTTACAACAGCTTACTTAATTAACTATCTCTCCGAGATATCACTGTTTTTATCAAAGAAGTCAAAAAAAATACCGCGTTCTTTGCGTGCGATAACTAAACGGCTCTATGTAAATAAAAATATAGAGTAAATATGTCGAATTTCAGTATTTCTAGAAAAAGTTCACATTTCTTTGCTTTCATATTTTAAAATGTATTTTTTTTCACTAAATGCTTTGTAGATGATTATTTGAACTAAAAATTATAAAAATAATTTATTTCATTATTAGAATCTAGCTAAATTTAAAAAAAGATGGTACTTAATAGAGATACTCTTAATAGTAAGTACTTTTGTCATTTAATTACATTGTTTGAGAGAAAATATAAAATTACTAACACAAAAAATACTGCTAGAATAAATAAAATATTAAATTACCTTAAGGTAAAATATTAAATCACATTTGTAGATAGTAGAACCATCAGTACCACAGGATTTTTAAATTATATGGAAATATTTGGCCTCAAATAATAGGTACGCTATATGAATTTGAAGCACATATAACTAATGCAATGAAGTGTAAGACTAATGAAAAATTGAGATAGCTCGATTGTAGCGGTCATCACAAAAAACAAGAAATCGCGTACAAAAACTATATGCGTGATGATGTTCTCCTGACCGATTCCGGCCACGGCGACCGATCTCATTGAGACTAGCCAACTGCGCTGGAGATATTATAGTGCACAAGTGTACGCGCAGACACAAGTGCACCCTCTATTCCTGTCACTCTCATTATCCGGTGGGATGACTGCTTGACACGACCAGTGAGAGTTAAGGCGCAGGACCGACGGCTTTACGTGCTCTCTGAGGCACGGGGGTGAAACACCGCCAACTTCCCAACTCCAGGCTATTACTGAGGCTTACTATACAGAAAGACTCATTAAATTAACTTGGCCCGACCCGGGACTCGCACCCAGGACCTCTGGGTGTGCAGCCGTACATGCTAGCCACTACATCACCGAGCAGTTGACTATACTATATGCGTACGGGTGGCATAAAAAAGTATATTAGAGCTTTTTAAAATATTAATTTCATGAATGCGATTTTATAGAATACCTTTAATTAATTAGAATTCAGTGAATGAAACCCATACCTATTAAAGGATCGAGGGGGTGACGAAATAAAGTTTTCGTTGAAAATAGACGTCGACAGGTTGATTGATGTCGGTTATAATAACTGCTGAGTGAATATTTTATTCGGCCATTTGGAAGTACTTTCACCCATGCGTGACGTGATGACGTTCAAGGTAACTATTTTAGGGTTGCCTAATCGTTAATTCTTAATTCTACCTTCCTCTCACTGTTTCAAGTCACGCACCAATAAAAAGCGCTATTTGCATAAAATACAATCATGTGTTTACTTATGACTGCTCTTATTATGCCTCAGATTGAAAAAGGTAAGAGTTGCATAAAACAAAACATGTGTCAAATGAGTGTGTGATTGGTCGGTTCGGTCATCCACCATCTTTCCACTCGGGATCACACCTTCTCGAGTCGGCCTGCAATATTAATTACTATTGTTTCGTGTCCGCCAAAGTTGGTCCACTCCGAATCCAATCTTGCCATGTGAATTTCATAAATTTAAATTATTAGTTCCAATTTTTACACTTAAATAAAAAGTATTATTACCAAAATATTAAAGTATGCATATTAAATAATATTCTTAATTAAAAAATATTTATTAATTTTAAAATAATTGAGGGGAAGAGACGAAATTTTCACGATGGAATTTTGATCTCTTAAGGGTGAATCAAAAAATTTACAATATAGAACACGCCCTTTGGAGAAGCGATGACTAATTGTACTAATGCATAAAATAATTAAAAGTACCTTATTATTTTTAAATTATTAATTTTTGAAAATTCTCAGTAATTAATAATGTATCGCTACATATTATTAAACAAAGTCCCCCACCGCGTCTGTCTGTCTGAACGCAATTAACTCAAAAACTACCAAACAGATTTTCATACGGGTTTTACCAATACATGGAGTGATCTATGAGGAAGATTTAAGTATCCATTAAGATTTTGTATAAATTGGCTGAAATGTGACGATGATTGTTAAAGATTTCGGAAAAAATCATGCCGGCTGGGAGCTTTACTGGCGTGCTCCGCATAAATTATTGCAGGCAGAACCACAAAATGTTCTAATAAATTGAAAAACATAAAAACCACTACAAAAAGTCCGCAACAGCATATATCTATCTTTTAAGGTGGACTCACAATAACCATTTTTATGGTTCTCAAATTGGGTCTAATATAATGCTTTATTTGCTTAGGTGTTTTTACTGACATGTTATTAACCCTTATCTAATTATATATTTTAGACAACTTTAGCACTTAATTTAGATCTAAACTAACCTTTACACTATTTAAATTAGATGAATATAAGCTTAGAAGATACCTACTACAGAATTGAAATAACTTTTTGTTTCGTGTTTACTTTAGGTAGATACTTGTTGCACGGTACATATTATAGGGTATGTTTTATTCCTGAAATATTTCGGGTTCCTTTCGAATTTATGTTCTATTAAAATTAGAGTTATTATGAAAATAATGTATTTTAATTCATTTTTTACATATTTACTTAGATTACGCTACGTCCCATGATTTTATTTTTGAGTCTGATTAATGCCATAGATTGATGAGTGGTGTGATGACTGGTACCTAGGACCTACTTAATTATCTACAACATTATTATTTTTCTTTTCAATAAAACTGTTTAACTTAAAAAAAATATTTATTTTTTATTTTTATCGATGAAGTGTTTATTTTTACATTTATAAGAATACATATAGCAATTCGGCAAAATTAGTTTCGTTATTTTACTCCTTTTATGCAGTTTGCACATATGAGTAGGTACATAATATGGTTTTGAAAGTGGTCCCTGAATACTGCGAGCGCAGCGTCTGGAACTTGGCTATCCATAACCATACTAAGATGATAAATGTGAAAGTGTGTTTGTTTGTATGTCTTTCTTTCACGTCAGAACAGAGTGAATGATTGGTATGATTGCGTGGAGATATATGGAGGGCTGGAGACTGATATAGGCCTTTTTACAGCGGGAGATTATCTCATTCCCACAGAAAACACGTTATAATATAACCCAAAAAAATATTTATGATCAGAATTACTTGGTATTAATGCTCTTCAATATAATTAAATAAATACATATTTTAGCATTTTTCAAAATTCATACCATGAGGGGGTAAAATAGGGAATGAAAGTTTGTATGATACCTACTACATATTTTGGTTCGGCTAGTAGTATTATATTTCTTGTTACAGATGTTGTTGTTATGATGTAAATAGTATATTCCCAAAAGGTTTTCAGTAAATTAAAAATGACCCTAGATATATATATATATATATATATATATATATATATATATATATAAGTATATAATCTGAATCTCGGAAACGACTCCAACGATTTTCATGAAATTTAGTATACAGGGGGTTTCGATAAATCGATCTACATTAGTCTTATGTCTGGGAAAACGCGTGTTTTCGAATTTTCATGCGGTTTTCTTTTGCATTATTTCACGCAAAATATTGCGTTCGATAATTTCGCAAGCGCGGATATAAGCATCATAGTCAAGCAGCCAAGGCGCAAGGTTGAATAAGTGTCCGGGTTTGAATCCCGGTCGGATACAAAGGTATAATTTTTTTGTTTTTTTTTGTAAATATAAATATTCAAGTTTTTTTTTTGTCCTTTTTAAGCAAAAACTCCGAGCGAAGCTCTGTGGCCCAGGTACTTTACTTAATTTTATTAGTATATTTTAATGAATGACAAAGTTAAAGTTCGTTAGCACAGTAAGTATAATATCTCTTTCCCTAAGGGAATGAAATATATACCGTAAAATTTAAAGGTATGTCCTAAATCATGAGCAAAATATTGGTGAAATACGAGTTGCCTTTACGTTATGGAGGACTCAGAATATTACCTATATGTGTTTAAAGGAATTTTAAACTTATTTTAAAACTTACCACTTAAATGTTACAATTGAAAAAGATTTAAAATGTATATTTGGGAGTGTCTATTTTGCGAAAACGACCGTTAACCTATTTTTAAATTGGACTTTCGAATGGAGTGGATGACGCAAGTGAATGTACCGAGATTGGCAACATACCTACATTGCAAATGCTACCTACGTAGGTATTCGCCTTCAATTGAATAGACAAATTATATGACAACGGCAACGCACACATTGTAATTTATTAATTGATATAGCTTTTTCTAATTAAGTCATCCAGATATTATCCATACCCACGGCTTCACCCGCGTCCAAACTTCCGATCGCTAGCAAAATTCATACAATCACCCGCAGGGCTAATCGGAATATTACCTGAAAATTTCATCAAAATCGCTCCAGCTGTTTTGGAGTTCATAGGATACATACATACACACATCGATTTTTATTTTATTTAATCAACAATTTATATGTATTTATTACTCGGAAAATGGAGTCTTTTATGAAAATTCAGTGACAAACCGACTGCAGCGCCACCTAAC